AAAAAGACTGCCTTGGCTGATCTGCTAGGGGTTGGAGCACAGGGGGCTTTAGTACGTTCTCGTTTCCAGAATGTAACTGATGCTCCTTCCAAATTTTTCTTCAGTTTGGAGAAGAAAAATGGCCAGAGTCGACTCATTCACAGTGTCCGAGCAGAAGATGGAAGTGAACTGATGGAAACACMTGCAATACGAAAAAGGGCTGTGGACGTTTTTTCAAAGCTTTATGCCTCTGAATACAGAGAAAATGGTGAACTGACAGAAAAGTTCTTAACAAATTTGCCGAAGATTTCAGCACAAGATAACACAGACTTGGAACCTTTTTTGACCATTCAGGAACTGCAAGAAGCTCTTTCGAGCATGGTTAATGGAAAAACTCCAGTATTACATGGTCTACCTGTGAAGTTTTACAGAACCTTTTGGACTTTGTTGTCAGAAGATTTATTGGAGGTTCTGAATGACAGCATTCTGAGGGGAAAATTACCACTAAGCTGTCGGAGAGCTGTGCTCACTCTTCTCCCAAAAAAAGCGATGGTGCTTACTTAGTAAATATGTGTACAAAACATATACAGAACTTATATTTATACGTCCTGTCCTCCATGCCGACCACTATTTGGTGCTGCACGTGCTTCTCAAGTGCTGTGGAGGGCTTAATAAGCCACTTGCCCTCGTCTGTAATTGGTTTCGGGTGGGACTTAATATGGCCAACCCTCCGCGGGAACAAGCAAACTGAGTGAGTCGGGTGTAGGGCAAGTGTGTAGCCACCGATTGGGAAAGGCCCTATGTGTGGGAGCAGATACTGTTGTAACTGCTGCAGGTAGGCTCTAAGCTATTTAAATCCATTTGTTTTGATGTTTAAATTATCCTATTTGACTGACATGTCTCTCAACTTTTAGGTATCTCATGTCTTGTGCCTAAGCCTTCCATTGAAAAGTCTGTCATAAAAAGTGGAAACTGGTGAGTCAATTGTTTTGTTTTGGAGTTAGCCTGTCAGATCTATCCTCCTGGGCTGTGTGTTGGAAGCAGAATATGAGGACATAGTCAGTTTCCTTTTCCTAAATGAACACCTGCCTCAGATTAGATCTGCTTGTTAGTCTGCAGTTAAAAACACYTGCAGTCATGACACCTTGGAGGGCTACTGGACGAAGTGGAGTGGCAAGAATCATGGCTCCAACAAGAGAAATGTCTCTTGAAACAAAAGAGAGTATTGTGAAACTTCTTGAAGAAGTAACTCTTCACGCATGGTTGCTAAATATGTGGGCTGTTCACAGTCAGCTGTGTCCAAGATATGGACCAAATTAGTGATGGGCAAATGAAGCTTTCTGAAGCACTGAAGCTTGCTTTGGAAAAGGATTCATTACTCAAAGCTTTTCAACACTGTCCTCTTTGGCGCTATCTTATGGCAAAAAGTATGAAGAGCAGCTTGAAGCAACACAAAACGAAGTTTCATCATGATAGAGTTGACAGATGTTTGTTCATTTGTTAGGAAACATTTCTGTATGATTGCAGGTTTTCACTGTGCTGCATTGAACATGTATTTTTGTTTTTGTGTGTGTGACTGAATAAATAAAGTTATGGTTGTTTATGGTTTGTTAAACATAAACTTAAATTGTGCCATGGCTTGACTTTCTTTAAAGTTTTTTTTGGTATTTTTTTATTTGAGTGTGTGGTGGTGGAAGTGCTCGTGAACTTTTAAAATAAATACATAAGACATGTAAGATTATTTTATTAGATTTTTATTTAAGAAAAGGATTTTGTCTGAGGGTTGAGTCTGTTTCTTTGTTTGGAGAGAATTTCTCCTGCCTTAGAGAAGATCCTTTCACATGGAACAGAAGATGTTGGAGTGCACAGAAACTGCAGTGCAAGCTGGTACAGGTGGGGATAAACAGTCTTTCTAGTCGCCCAGAAATGGAGTGGATCCTCTGTTGGTGGAATTAAAGGATCTGCCATATATCTCTGCACTTCCACTGTGGCATCTACAGTGGCATTCCTCACCTGCCTCTCCACCACATGGCTGTCCAGCAGATCCCACAGACCATCACCTAATAATAGTACTCAAATAAAACAGCAACACAATTTCTTATAGCATGTTAACTTTTTTTTTCAAAATTGTAATAAATAGAATTGTCAGTATCCGATTTATGACATTACATTCATATATTTTAATCTCATCAGTAATTTAAATACATTTTAGGATTAAGATGTACAGAAAGTACATCATGTTATGTACTTCAGGCTAATTGTACCTGAATGGGATGAAGGACCAGCTGCTGCCTCTGAGGACGTGGATGGGACAAGAGGGACTGGTTCAGCTCCAATGATGTCGGCACATTCTGCAGTCAGACGTTTCACTGCAGCTTCAGCGTTGGTCTGGCTGCAGAATCCGACGGCCTTAAACCTAGGATCTAGCAGTGTTGCTATACTCATTACACTCATTGTCTCAAGAGGAGATAAAGATTCACTCAGCATCCTAAAGAGGTTGATGCACAGCTGGAGAGCTTTCTCATCTTTAAGATGAGGTTTTTTTCTTGAAATTGTGTACCGCAACATGCAAACAAGTGGGATGACCCTTGACCCTGACACTCTTAGCTCTTCTGACAGTTCCACAGTTGCTTTGTAAAATGGTGAAAGTACTCCCAGACACTCCTGAACTGAATTGTACTCTGTGGCAGTGATGGGTACAATGTCGGTCTTCAGTGAGACTAGGGCAGCACCAATTGGCTCTCTCTCCTCAAATAAATGCTGTAGCATGGTATAAGTGCTGTTCCATCTGGTTTCAACCTCTTGCAGCAGTTTTAGGTTGGGCCGACCCAACTGCTGCTGCATTTGGCAGAGCTTCTCCTTTGYCGTTGTGCTGGACCTAAAATAACMAACTATWTTTCTTGCTTTTTCCCTGATCTCCTCCARTCACGGTGTGYGATCAATGGATTTCTTTACTATCAGGTTAAGTGAATGTGCAATACACTTTGTGTTGCGCATTTTCAATATTTTTGCACATAAAAGCAYAKTTGGTGCAGCATCAKTGACAAGGCATCATACTTTGTTTTGGATGTCCCACTCTTCCATCAGAGTCCTCTTCACTTCAGCYATGTTTTCTGCAGTGTGGGACTTGGGAAAATGGCCTACTCCCAGCAGCACTGTGGACAGTTTGTCCTGCTCATTAACAAAATGGCAAGTGACTGCCAAGTATGCATYCATATGAATGGAAGTCCACATGTCACTTGTCAGACTTACATTTGCGGCCTTCTCAAGTTCTGCCTTTGCCTTTTCCTTTTCTGCATGGTACTTTTTTTTCACCATTTCCTTTAAAGTCTTCCTGGTGGGGACTATGTAGGTTGGGTCTAAAACACCTACAAACTGTCTGAAGCCAGCGTCAAACACAGAAAAAGGCTGGAAATCCATTACAATCATGCTGACCAAAGCAGCATCGACCAATTGTTGTCTGGTCTGAATGGGCTCCATATTTGTAGTCCCTACAACACAAGAAAACGTTCAGTATATTAAAAATTAGCTTGAGAGTATTCTTATTGAATGCTGTTAGTAACAGCTACTTGGATAGTATAGTGCCATAAATTGTGTAATGTGGGGTCAAATGAATGTGTCCCATCTCACCAACAGTCTGATGATGTTTCAGAAGAAGAAGAGTTGCCAAACAATGATTCTTCTCACACAAAAATTGTGTGGAAAAAACAATTAGTGACATTTCGTGCAATCAAGGCTATTGTGAAAAATAAATTAAATAATGACAGTTGTACACACCATGACTGCTAAGGTTCATTGTTGGTCTACTCCCAGAAGGGTGCGCATC